GGGGCAATATTTCCACACTGTCCTAATAAAACATAAATAAACATCAGTGCCTATCGCAGATAACAATATTCAAAGTCTTGACATCCCAATTTATGGACGACAAAATCTAAATTTAAACGATTTAAATGTCTTGTTTTTTTTTTGTTTTTTTTTTTACATGTTTCTCCAAAATTGAATCCAACCTATTTGGTGTCGAGAAACTTTAGGATAAACTTCTGTGTCTACGTTTGACTGAACAGCTTGGGCTTGTATTGACTGAGTCACTAGCGGCACAGTGGGGGGTTTAAAAGCTTAAAACTAAAATCATGCAGTATACACACTGAACCAGGATGAGTTGTGAATAAACATTTTATCACAGAAATGATCGTAAACATTTTTTTTTTAAATCATACAGATATTCTGGCTTGTCTCCTGTTTTTGTAAAGAACACCTTCGAGATGAATCGTTGACCTCGGAGACAAAGTTTGACAAAGTGTGAGGAGATCAATGTGTTGATCTTTTGATCCATTCCTCCTCAGCAGATGGAGCTCTGTTTGTGCTGGAAGAGTCCAAATTCAAATATTCTGTTGCCAGGGTCAAGAATAAACTTCCAATCAGCTGTGATTGTACTCCTGGGAAGGTCCAATGGCCTTAGAGATCATTCAGCAGCCTTTGATTGATGTTTCTGGAAATATTTCTTGTTAAAAATTAAATTCAATTAAGCAAAAAAAAAACCCAGAGAGGAATACAAAATGTTGAAAATTTTAATAAGAACCACCAAAATAGGTAATGAGACCATAAAGAGGTACAAAAACGAGGCTGTTCCTTGGGGTGTTTTTTCTCATTATCACATTTTGAGCAGCAGAGTGTGTAAGTTCACTACAGAGTTCAAATTACTACACTCTTAATTACCTGCACATTAACGGCACAATAATCAATTGAAGTTATATTTAGAAAAGCCAACTTGTGAGTGGAAGGATTTTAAACCTCAGCGGTTATGTGGGAGGAAGTTAAATAATGGTTACCACACAGTCACACAACTTTGCCGTACTCTTCACACTGTGCCACTTATTGCTATGCAGCTACCTGCCTCCCGTCCATCATAGTAGCTCCCCTGAAGAGCTCTCCGGTTGACGTGGAGAGGTCTGAACAGCAACACACCCGTCTGTCTCTGTGACCTCCTCACAGCATATGATATGAGCCCACACACTGTATCCATCTTGAGTGTTACATGATGACACCCTCCACACACGCACACACACACACACTGGCAGTATCTTACATGAGCAGTGTCCGTGTCTCTGCTCATTTCTCTGGCAGTGACTCAGAGATGCTTTATGCGGCGTTGAGACCACAACACATCACTTCCATTTTAGTTCACACTCTGAAGGGCTGTGGGCGGCAGCAGTGTGTGTGTGCGTGTGTGTGTGTTTGTGTGTCTGTGGAGAGAGTGCACAAGGGCAAAAAAGAGGAAAGGGAGATGTGTGTATGTGTGAGTCCATGTGTTCCAATTAATTAGCATTAGCTCGGCGCTGTGGGTTTCCGAGTGGCTGCAGATTGCCACACTAGTGGGTTTTTTCCGCTCAGTGGATGGAGAACCCTGGCCCACGATGCTGGAGAGAGGGACATGTCCCAACATGGCGAACACCCAGCTATGACACACACACACACACAGAGTCACACAACATTCAAGACAGAGTTCCCCCCCTGAAGGCATTCAGCGTGCCTCAGCTTTAGAGAAATGTGGAAAAAGAAGATATCACACATCCTGACCCTGCATGATACAGTTTCTTGTGCCAGCTTGGTTGGAAAAGACATACCCATTAAATGCATGCACACCACATTCAGTTATCTGTAGAAATTATTGAACAATTCACAATGGAATAGATTGTTTTGCCTAAATCAAATGTGTGCCTTTTGCACACAGTCGAGCACGCTGTCAGTTTTGGGCTGTCAGTTTCACTTGTGAGTATAAGCACAACTGTTTCTCCCACTGGGGACAGCGAGGTCATGTCTGTATTTTTAGGCTATGTGGCTCTAAGAATACCATTTTTGTCCAGGATGAAATACATCAAGAACGATTACATTTGGTTGTAGTGAAAACTCTTATGGACATTCTTGGTCCCTAGAGGATGCATTTGCTAAATGTAACCCCTGACAGTTCCTCTTGCACAACAGATCCTCACTCAGAACTTGTCAGAGTTTGCAGTTTTTCTCTGAGGCCCCTCACTTCAAATGATAACTATCTATGTACCATGCTACCATCATTTTAGCTTCTGCAGGACTCCCTGTTCAAGTTGGCGATCATAATGAGCAACGTCCCATTAGTCTGTCAAAATAAAGCTTGTATAATGCTTGTACAAAATAAAGCAGTATAATGAATGCATGCTGGTTATGGAAGAACGTCATTGACTTTTGTTCATACAGGGATTAGAAATAAGTCTTGGGAAAAAATCAGAGTTTGTTTGACCCTTCCTTCACACCCTATTGATTTAGTTTCACAACAGTTTATTTAACTTGGGGCAGCTTCAAGCCCCATTTAGGCATTTGTAAACAACCAAGATGGCTGCACCCAATGGGGATTTGTCTAAATCTATTGACTCAGTATTAAACTGACTGCATGGTAGTTCATGCTTCATACATTATGGGTTAGTTGTGTTAGCAAATATATTTAAAAAAAATTAATGAATCAAGAAGTCAGAGACTGAACAAAGAACAGCAATAACAGGAAGTGTTCTTCATCAATCTCCTCGACAAAGACTACAGCAGAAAAATCTGAGATGTGTAAACTCATTCCGTCACTCATGGCAGTCATCAGTTTGTAAGTGTCATTGTGATCGTTTTCCAAAACGGCAGGATCTCACAGTTACACACAATCATCTGCAAGTATGACTCCGAGAGGCATGAAAACGACAAGAAAACAAGTCGTACAGGGAACAATAACACAACCCTGATTGGATTAGAGAGGAGTTTGCAGAAGAATGATGGTGGGTGTCAGAGACGAGAAGACTCATTATCAGACACCAATCAACATCTGGAGGAGCACCAACAAACATTGCAAAAATAATTAACAAATAATGAGGAGTGAGTGTTAGAGGGGGTATTAGCAAAGATCTCATCAGAAATAAGATGATTTGCCATGAGATTAGGATAAGAACAGGAAGTAAGAATCACGTTTTAGGCAGCAGAATTAAAGTTACAAAATGATGAAGTGTGTAAACAGCCAAACAATTCACCCTCATTTAATTTCCAAGGATGTACTCTTCTGGAAAGGCCTGCTTCATTTACATACAGGATATAGAAAGAGCTTTTCAGGACAGCCAACCAAGGTCTAATTCCATGTGGGACAGGTCTTTTAAATGATCTGATGTAAATAAAGTATTAATTCATTCATTGTACCTCAAGGCTCTGTGCATGGACCCCTCTTTTTTAGCCCCTTTTCCCCTTATAGTCAGAGTTACACCAAGCTTCCATCGCTATGCTAATGATACACCGACCTATCTTTGCACCGAACCACCCTCTGAGCTCCACCCACAGAAACACCTCAAGTATCATTACAGAAAACAGTGCAAATGAACGCTTCATAGCCCTGAAAGAAATACTCTCATTGGTCAGTATCACTGACGGAACACATCGTAGTAGTAAATCAAAGACGCTACTTTCTTTCAGGAGGCCGTGAGGCTCCCAGATGTGGCCTTGATTGTCCTTCGATATGACGCACTTCACAGGATAGAACAATTGATTTGGTCCCGAAACCTTACTTCTGACGGCTCGGGCTATAACAAGTAGTTTGACCTCGGCATTAGTCGGATCATCCGCCTTGCTTTTGTTAACAGCAGGCCAAATGAAATGTATCGTAGAAGTCATGTTTTTTAATTGTTTCTTAAATGTTGAAAAAAGAGCCTGGATAATGTTATTAGATTAAAACTATGGAGCAATTTACAAACTTTCAGAATCCTTAAAATGTGCCCTAATCAAATGATAATTATAGTATATTTTTAATATAGGTTTTGTAGCACTTATTATGTGTTTTTTAAGCTGCTTCTGAAGCTGCTGACTCTCATTCTGCATCTCAGTTTCCTTGTAACTGTAAGACCAATCGAATGATTGCTAAGCACATAGTGGTGTAGAAGTGCACCACCTCCAAAACATTTTCCCTATCAACGCTATTGTCTTTTAAATGGAGTCATTATGTCCCAGAGTGGTTGTCCATGTGCTTTCAATTATATAGGGGAACTTTAAGGCGGCCTGTGGCGCCATCGAGTGGACAAAAGCAGAACCACATAACCACACCTGTTCAAAAAAAAAAAGGAAAAAAAAAAAAAAAAGATGGATGCAGCAGTCCAGAAATAGCTCCTACACCAGAAAAAAAAAGCGCACTGTGCGTCAAAGTCCAGTTCCGGTTATGTGACGCTCTAACAGCTTTACCATGGACACGGACCACGGTGTTAGAGGACTGTGATATTTATGTGATGTTTCATTTATATTATTCACTGGAGAGATGCAATTAGGTTAAATTAGCATTTTCAGAGACTTGTCTGTTTTCTCCCACCTTAACACAGCATCCTATACGAAAGGGTTTTTTTATGTAATGGGGGATTTTTTTTTTTTACAGAAAGGTGGATTTTAGTGACTTTAAAGTACTTTTTGGCTACTTATTTACACCTTTTACATTTTTTCAATAATTACAACTTGTTGATATGAGGTTATAGTGATGTTTTTTCTTGAGGTAGCCTTGACAATGTATTTGTTATAGGTAAATAATAACGTAATTTTATCTTTTCAAGGGCTTTATTATGCTAAATGTGATCAGAAATAAACTAATAAAGACTTCAGGTTTGGATTAAAACCCTGTAAACGCCCTATTCTATTGTTTTCTAATCGACAATAAAGTGCTCTTACTGTCAAAATCTCTCTCTCAGTGGCATAATGTGGTGTGGTTTGGTGTGTGAGTGTGTGTCAGAGTCAGGGAGGCGGACGGGGGAGGGTGGGGGGGCACCCACAGTGTCTCTGCTGTGACTGTGTATCACTTCAGATGCTCAGACAGAATTTAAAATGCGCTCCTCCGCCTTGTCACCACTGTTGTGCGCATTTTCTTGACGAGCTCGTGTTCCCACAGCATGGTGCTCGGACTCAGAGGCTCAGCACTGCTTTTCTCCATCACCAACCGCTAAACTCTCACGGACACCTAATTAGAGAGCAGGGCACCTGTCCCCCCCCACCTTCAGAGAAGAGGTAAGTTCATTTTTGAAGCTGAATTAGTGGAAAAAAAAAAAAGAAAAAAAAGTGCAACCTAGATTTCCTTTCCACCCAAGCAGAAAGACGCAGACGGAGTTTCCTGGAGAGTTTCCTCATGCCTTCTGGCTGCAAGCTGCTGTTTCTGTTTTAATCTTTTTTTTTTCTCCTCCCTTTGAATGTTTCTTTCTCTTCTCAAGTTCAAAGCGCGTTGGCGTTTGTTGTTTAACGTCGTTTCCGGTCAGCAGGGGGACGTCTTGGTAAACAATGCTGCCCGGTGATTCATGCATATGTGACATTCAAGCTGTGCCAATTAATCAATTAGTGATCAGGGCGAGGGTGATATGGAAATGAGGCTGTCACTCAGACTTACCCCACAGCCTGGCTAAAGCACCAAAATGTGTCATCATTTAATTAAAGAGAATTCTTTGGAACACACAAACACACAAAAAATAGTTTATTTCTAATTGTTTCAGGCTGGAATGAGGAGTAGGTGTTCAGAAAAATCTAATTATTGGCAGACAGGTTAGTGCTCATGTTGTCAAAGCTGACAGTTGGCTTCCTTTCAAGTTTTAGTGATGATGTTTCAGTGCAAGGCTGCAGACTTCTCTTTTGTTTAAAGGGAAACAAAAGCCATAAAAGTTTTAAATCTTTGCATACAGGAGCAGTTGTTGCCCTATGTGGCTGATTTCTCACATACGAACCCTTCCCTTTTTTCCCCCACAAAGCTTTAAGTGTGGTAATTTATTCACCTGTGCTCCTGCTGCTCTCCAGCGAGCCAGAAGCAAGCTTAATTAGCCACTCAGACTTTTTTATTTTTGATCCCTTGTCTCCCCTCTGAGGGCAAAGTGAATGGTGAATGTAATCTCACACCATTGGACTGTTACATAACTTTAAAACTGAAGTGCCATCCTGGCTGCGTGGGAGTGGATGTGATGTTCCCACTTCCTTGCTGTTGTTTTGCTCGTTAATTCTGAGAGGCACATTTACTGTAAGTGGCGTTTTCTGATTATTTTTTTTGGATGCAGACGAGCCCCGGAGCAGGACTGATTACCTCAAAAGTCCTCGGTGTGATTATGCAGCCGACCCACATGAATTCTGTGATTGTTTGGGTCGCACCGACATGTTGATTTTAACCAAATGTGTGTAGTTATGCGAGTGTGTGTGTGTTGCATTCTGCCTGTGCTGTGTAGGAGGAGTGTGATCGCAGTGTGCCCGAGCATGACGCTCAAAAGATGTTGGACACAGTTCAGTCCTTTGCTTGAGCAGTCTGTCCTCAGCGCTGCACAGACAGACATGTTACAGTAACCTGACTCATGCATGGCAGGCTTCCCCCAGCACTGTGCATGAACTGTGTCATTATTATCATGCAGCAGCAACACTGAAACCAAAAAAAAAGGGTTTAAAAATATCCAATATTTCTCAAATCTGGCAGCTGCTCGCAAAAAAAAAGGATGCAAGAAAACCTCATGACAGGTTTGAGTGCCACTTTTTCAGAAGACTATCTCTAACCAAGTAAAAACACTGATTACTGTAGTCAATAAATGCTAATCAGAGACATCAGATTTGAAGAGATGGAAAAGTAACAAGCCTGATCTGCAGCTCCAGAGGGTCCAATGGTGACCCCCACTGTCCTGAACTCTCTTTGCCCCTCAGACCTTCATGTGACTAAAAACTGAATATGCCCAGTTGGATACAAATTTTCAGGGATTTTCAGTATTTATTGCCAAAAAAGTTTGAAACAAATCTCAGGGTCTTGTGCAGGAGTGAGGGTCAGATGGATCGTGAGCTCGACAGTAGGATTGGTGCAGTATCAGGAGTATTGGGCGTTGCACCTACTCAACATGTTGAAGTTAGCTGAGTCTGAAGGCAAAGCTTTGATTTACCAGTCAAGGTTTGTTCCAACATTCACTTACAGTCCTGAGCTTTAGGTAGTGACCAAAAGAACGAGATCGCAGATACAAGCGTCTGTAATGAGTTTCCTCTGGAGGGTCGATAGGCTCAGAGCTCAAAGTAGAGTTGCCAGTTGAGGTGGTTGGGCATCTGATGAGGATTCCTCCCTTTGGAGGTTTTTTGGGTGCGTCCAATTGGGAGGAGACGCCAGGTAGACCCAGAGGTCGTTGGAGGGATTGTATATCCCATCTGGCCTGTGGAAAGCCTCAGAGTCCCCCAGGAGGAGTTGGATAAACATTTCTTGGGAGAGGGATGTCTGGGTTGACTTGGTGGCCTGCTGCAACCACGACCCGTTCCTGGATAAATTAATCAAAGTTTAAAACATGTAAAAATCTGCCTTGGTTTTTTGGTGGCTCTGTTGAAAGTGGTGAAGTTTGCAGTAAGCTTCAAGTGATCGGGTAGTGAGTTCCAAGGATTTTACTCCTTTTACAGACAAAGCTGTTCGAGCAATTATTAGATAAAATCATATAATAAAGTTTTTTATAAACTTGAATAAATGAATACATTTCTTAATACTTTGCACTACATTTAATTTGGATCACCTTGTAAACTTGTAGAAAAATGTTCTGATAAGTCAAAATAACTTTCTAAATGAGGAAAACTTCACCAACCTTTTTTTAAAAAGAAAAACAACTATCACTGTCTTTATATTTCTACACCTCCTCCTCCATGTTTCCACACCATCACTCAGTATACACCTCCACCCTCCGACCAACCTACAACCCAACAGAGAGACAAAATATCAAAATAACAAAACTGCAGTAGATAATCTGCTACATCACCACGACTGCACATAGTCCGACTGTAAACATACACTCAGTTCACCATACTACTAATGAAGTTAAAATGAAGTGGAGGTTACATCTGGTTGCATCTTTGAGAAGAACTTAAGACATGCTCAACTTTAAATTAGAGTCAAAAACAATCCTGCCCTGCAAGCACCATTTTTTCCACAAGATATTTTGATCCATTTTCGCCTTTATTGGATAAGACAGCTGAAAAAAGCGAGGAAATGTTGGGAGGAGAGAGTGGGTGATGACATGCAGCAAAGGGCAAAAGTTGGTTAGGAACCCACGGCCGCTGTGATGAAGACTAAAGCCTCTGTTCATGGGGTACGCAACTTAACTGCTAGGCTATCCGGCGCCCCAGAATTTAGACGTTTTGTAGCTTTCAGAATTTAGACATTTTGTAGCTTTCACTTTCAGAATTAAAAAGTTTGAAGAACACCTTTCAAGGGTTTAATGACTAAATCAGGAAGTGAATTTGTGTGGTCAGATTTTGCATGAAACACTTGAAACTGCTTTGTTAAGGTTTCTCACACAATCAGAGCCGTGTTCTTCCCAGGTTTGTTTTCGAATCTGGTGAATAAATGGTCCAGTCAGGACAATGTAACACTTAGTGTACCTACACTGATCCAAAGAAACAGTTTTACTTCCAACTTGATTTGGCAATTTGCTGTCTTTTTATTTTTCGACTTGAAGATATAAAGCTCTTTCTTTGACAGACTCTGGTCGAAGAGAAACACCTGACTGGTTTAATAAAACACGCCTGATTATGATTGCGGTCAGATTTATGTTCCTGTTCTGCTTTGAGGACGGTTTCGACAGCAGAAAGAGTCAACAATCGTGCAGAAGTAGAAGAGGAAGAGGTATGAAGTGACTTCCTCCCTCCCTGGCTGCTTCAGAGAGAACACTGTTATTACATTACAGTATTGCAGGCTTTTGTCCTCTTGTGGTCACTCTAACACAATGTGAAAATGGAGGATGAAAGTGATCCTTCTTTGTCATTGTCAAGGCTGCACTAAGAAGGTTCAAATACGTGTATAGAAAGTCCTGGAAAATAAAAAATAATACACTGTTGTCATCATTAAGAATGAAAGACAAAACTCTAATGGTAAAAGAAGAGATTTTAAATCCAGAAATGATAAAGATTAGTTTAAGTTAGTCTTCTTTCTAAGTATCTGATGGATAGAAATGACATCCTTGACCTGGAAGATATTGAACATTGTCTCAAAACTCAGCTGAATGTGTGATTAATTTAAAGTCTTGAGCACTTTCTGTTTCTCCTGATTTCCTGAAATATCTCATTTAAAAATGCAAAACGAAACTTTAAAAGCACTCTGTTTTTAAGAGGCATTATTCACTCTCACTTATGGAAAACCTCTGACATTACCTAACAGTGCTTTACAAAAATAACATTTTGTATGGAGTGCTCCTCATGCCGATCCGTCGTTAGTCACAGTCTGAATCACACAAACATGCAGGGGTTAAAACAGAGCGGAATATTTAACGTCTAAAAACCTTTTAAATTCTAGGAATCCTATCAAAGATTGTGATTAATTTGATTATATAAAAAAGGTTCATGAAATGTTTGCATTTTCACTTTAGCTCTTTAAATCATTTTCTGAAAAATTTGAATGTTTTCAAGCAATCAAGGCTTCCAGCTGCAGCCTTGTTTTGGTCAAAGTGAGAAAGCTCTGACGTAACGCCGACATTATTCTTGTTTTGTTTTTTAAGAAGTGACAGAAACAAGTGACAGCGGCTTGGAAAAAAAAACTGGCTTTTAGTTATTTTCAAGAGAAAAATTGGAACTAGATAGTTATTCTGGCAAGTTTTTGAAGCTAAAAATTTAAATTCAAAATGTTTGCTTGGATGACCTCTTCGATTGGATGAATGTGGCGTCAGAAGCCAAGTGCTGCCTTCACAAAAAGCTCAAAACCATGGTGAGAAAAAACAAGACTAAGTGATAATTATTCATGAGACATTTATTCAAACAATCAACGAACAATCAAAAATTAATTTAATCATGACCATTACACAGCCTGTTTACCTGCTAATGAAAACCAGGGTAGCTAAAGCTGTTACATAAGACCCTGAAGGTAAACCCCTTTATTACAAAACATGCCAAAATCACCTTAGAAGAGAAATTACTGCAAAAAAAGACACTTGAATATCAACATGGAGTAAAAAAAAAACATATTTGTAAAAAAAAAATTATTTAAAGTATATTCTTCATTTGAAAACTTGATGGTATTTCTCAGTATTTAA